GTAGGGAAACATCCTTTCACTGTCACATGCACAAATTACAGCGGTTCCAAACAGTGAATGATTTCTAGATACCAGGCCCTAAACCTTAAAGTAGGAATGCCAATATGATTTTACAAGATGAGCCATATTCTGTATTTATGGTTCAAAGGCTGCGGTATTAAAGTATTGTCCGAAATCAATATACTGTTGTAGCTGTTCTTAACTAACAGATAGAAATGTGTACATGGTAAGGATCCCAGAGTATGTCCTTACTGACATGACTTGCCACTGGACAAGCTGTTGGCCATACTGAATTTCAAGGGCAAGAATTAATCTAAGCCACAATGATCCAGAAAGCCAAGGCTCAGATTTTATTATTTACAAATCAGGCTGAAGAAATCTTACTGAGCCAAGTTTATAATATTCACCCATGAGACACTGTTTTATGCTGAATTATGGAAAACCAATTCTGCCACTGTATGGTACTTCCACAATCCTGAAATAGTGATACTCTGTTCTACACAAAGCTCTGTTGCCTTTACAGAGTGCTAAACAATTCTTCTACAAATATTGACCAAAATGCCAGACAATGACTTGGAAGATCTTCAGAGTTAAAACAACAGCTGTCTTAACTAAAGAAGAGCCAGAACCCCAAGCTGTGCCAAGAAAGAAACAAGTTGAGACTTCTTATACAGGCAGAGACACCTGCGGCAAACTTCGCAATGCGTTACACAGTCATCGGACAAACAGCAGACAAAGCTATTCCATAATCAGTTCCTTATACTTCTAGAAGAGCTTCCTCACCACAGCATCAGTTAAAGAATTGCCTGTCTACATAAATGTACATTTCAAAATGCTCCTTAGACTATGAAAATAGGGATTTAATGGGCAACAAAAAGGAGCATTTTCCAGATCTCTCCTGTTAACATCAAGCCTTAGAAATCCACCACTTGGAGAAGGCAGAACTCTCTAACAGGGTAATGAAAGGTGGATATAAACTAGATATGAAATACAGTTTTTCTAAAGAAGCTCAGAAATAAAAATAACTGTAGAGAGGAAGAATGACTAGATAACTGACAGATCACCTTGATCTAAGCTTTATTACATTATTTCAATATTGTAAAATACTTTTTCCAACAAGCCTGTAGTTCCTATTTAATCTTTAGTACTTCATGTTTCCTGTGCTGCACAGTCTTCCTTGTAAATATTTTTACTATTACACTACAATGAGCTTTAAGAATAGTAGTATTTCAGTGAGACTGCCAATTCATTAGCCAGAGATATTCAAGCCCCATCTCACTGAAGATCTAACATGTAAGTACTAAAATACAGGTCTACAGGGAGACAAAATCATCATCTTTTCTCCTTCCTGTCTCCAATACGAAAGTATATTCTGGTTTTTGTTTTCTATGCAGTTTCCTACCTTTGCAATTGCTTTTTCACAAAAAGACAAGGCTAGTTTCGGCAAAAGGAGAGACTAACACAGTAACTTGCAATTAAATAAAAACAGAGCTTTAACAAGCAATCTTGTCCACATGACTTCAAATATGATTCCTGAAATTTCTTATGCTGCATCGATACCTTGTTTGTAAGATGTAGAACAACATTGTTGACATCTACATGAGTAAGGAATACCATGTATTATTAACATAAGCAACATTAACATCTTCTGAGCAACCTTCACTTTAGACTTTCCAGATTCACTCTGTTCTCTCCTACTATTTCCATCTTCAATAATTCTGCCGTGAAGTTCCAAAATGTATTTTAGAAGTGGCTTCAGGTAAAATAACTCCTTTTCTTTAGGCTACAGTTTCACAACTGCTTAAGTTGAGCTAGGTCACAATTCTGCCACAATTTTGTCTTCAGCCCTCTTATTTGTTCCAGCATTGGCACTTAACTGATCCAGTGTTAAACCAGCTCAGAAGCTAAGCTAGCAGAAGTTACTTAAAAAACAGAACAAAAAAACCCACACAACCAAAGAATTTCATTGGGCCAACTTAAATCCAGCAACACTCACAGACCTGCCTCCTTGGAAATCACACTGAAATCCCCGAATCATCCTGCCATCATCCCTTTCCTCATTCACCTGACAGAGAGCAAAACACAGAGAACAAAAAGCCAAAAACCCAACAATGCATGCTGTCCTGACCAACCAGCAGATCAGGTAGATACAAGGCTCTCTGTGAAGCTAAGTCATCCACTTCAAAGGAGAATTTTTAAACTTCCCCAGTTATTACAGCAGCTGATAAATGCCTTCAGTACCAGCCAGACCACACCTTTACAGATTCTGCATATTTGCTCAGCCCTCCTTCCACCATATCCCACAGCATCTCAAGTTTCAGCTGCATTCCAGAAACTTGACATAAGTTCATGCATACACAGAGGGACTATTTTTACCCTTACTTTTCTCTCACTGTTTTGTCCCCTGACTCCCCATGTTTAAAAATTATTTGTTTTAAACCGGATCATAAGGCTGTCAAAACAAGGCATCCCATTTTCACAAGTCTTACAGTATTACAGCGCTATGAGTACCTGACTCCAACAGAAGCTTTTAGGGACAAGAATCTGGGACCCAAGTGACAGGACCCAAGTGAAAACTACTAGAAACCAATTCCTAATCAAAGAAAGTAAATCTCTACTTGATTCTTCAGTTCAGTAACAACGTCATATCTGAACTGAGCTTTTATTTAAGACATTACATACACTTCATACTGTATACCACTTGCCCGACAATGTCATGTAATGTATCATAAAGTATTCAAACAAAATAAGTTTTGTAAAGAAAAATTCAACACACACTTTTAAAAAGAGCATGCATTCTGTCCCCACTGTAAAACCAACACGCAAATACTATTCTTATGTACTCTGAATCTACAAAATAGATGCAAGATGCAAAATATTTTTTGACTGCTACAATTGTCTCTCAGAGTTCTTGGGAGCTGATTTCTCATTCTTTACGTACTGGTAAAGAGTGTTTAAATGTTTTTTCCTGCTTTTGCAGTTCACATTAAAACAAATCTTAATTCAGAACA